AGAACATTATGGCAGAAGGGTGTAGCAGAGAAAGGTTGCTCTGCTTACAACAGACAGGAAGCAAGAGATTACAAGGGGCCAAGGACAAAATATATAATCCCCAAGGCATGCCCCAGGGACATACTCCTTCAGCTACACCCCACTTGTCCACAGTTACCACTCAGCAATCCATTCAAATTGTTAATCCACCAGATGGATTAATCCACTGGTGACATTACAGCTTGCATTAAACCTAATCATTTCCCTCTCACATTTCATAGGAGCTTTGGAGAGACATCTCATATCCAAATCATTAACACAGACTTTTTGTAATGAAGAGTTTCACATAGCTTTTGCATGAAAGATGTAACAAACATAGAACTGAATATCTCCTTCAAGCTCATCCTTGTGAGTGTGCTTTGAGATTTCTAAACCTATGATTCTCTTGATGAGAATAAAAAATACAAATGTTTTATGTGTGTTTCTTCTCACCTCCCTGGATTAGGACTTACTAAATGGTGTTAGAACTATGTCCTGAAAACTAAAAGACCCAAACACCTGGTCTACCACCTCCAGGTCCTGTCTCCCTGCATCCCACCACCCTTGGAATACCAGTTCTCATCCTCTTCTTAGTTAGCCTCTACAGTTGCAGGTTATAAGACAACTACTTGCATAATAAGGTAAAAGGGCAAAGAGTTCCAAATTTTAAATGCCTATCTCATCCACCCTATGCTTTCCTGATCAAGTTTGAAACAGCCTCATAGATTTAACTGGCAATACTGGTTGTATCTTCTTACTGGCCAACAAAAAACAAAATACTAATACCAAATTATATTGGCATAACTTTTAGAAACAGACCCATCTGTTATATGCTTCCCAAATTTATTCATCACTTGGGGTTTTTTTCTGTTTTTGCCTTTTTCAAGATAATTCCTGCAAAGAAAAAAGGCATTTGAATATAATTGAAAAGAAGCATGGATTAGTCTAACTGGATGCCCAAATATAAACACATATACAGCATAATTAACTTTATTTTTATTTTTTAAGCTGGAATTGAAGCCACAACTCTTTTTCTCATTTTCTTGAGAACATGAGGGAGATAAATTAAGATTGATTAAATCACATATATGACTAACACCACTAAAGAAAGTATTTACATTTTATCTATATTAAGCAAGTTCACAATGACAAAGTTAGAGAGAAGGCAAAAAATAAAAATTAGATAAATATGGAATAATTGAGCACAGAGCCTTTAATTTTAAAAAGATGCCTCACTAGTGTAGAAACTGAGAATGTACAACTGATCTCTTACTCAAGAATGGCCATCTTTGAGCAAACTTAATTTAAATGTCTCAATAAGCTAAGAAAGACTGGGAAAATAAACTCAGAGGATTTTATCCATTTTAATGGGAGCATTTAAAAACCTAATAATCAATTAAATGGTACTATTTTCTAGATAACCACTTTCCAATAGAAATACAATGCAAACCACATGTGTAATTCTAAATTCCTTAGTAGTCACATTTTATAAAGTAAAAAGAAATTATTTCAGTAATATATTGTAATTAATCCTATATAATCAAAATATTATCTCAGGATGTAATCAATACACAGCTTATTAATAAAAGACATTTTGCTTTCTCTTTTTCATATTAAATCTTTGAAATTGGCACATATTTTAGATTTATAGCACATCTCAGTTTGGACCAGCTGTGGTTTAGTATTCAATAACCACATGTGATCAGAGACTATCTATTAGCATAGTACTAGATGATTAAGGTATATAAGTATGATCATTGCTTCTGGGACTGCAAATTGGTGCATGCAATATGGAAAGCAGTAAGGAGAATCCTTGGAAAACTGGGAATGGAACCACCATTTGACCCAGCTATCCCACTCCTCAGTCTATATCCAAAGGACTTAAAAACAGCATACTATAGGGACACAGCCACATCAATGTTTATAGCAGCAAAATTCACAATAGCTGAACTGTGGAACCAACCTAGATGCCCTTCAGTAGATGAATGGATAAAGAAAATGTGGTATATATACACAATGAAATACTATTCAGCATTAAAAGAGAATACAATCATGGCATTTGCAGGTAAATGGATGGAGTTGGAGAAGATAATGCTAAGTAAAGTTAGCCAATCCTATAAACCAAATTCAAATGTTTTCTCTGATTTAAGGATGCTGATTCATAATGTAGTTGAGAGGGGCATGGATTAGATGAACTCTAGATAGGGCAAGTGGGAGGTAGAGGAAGGGAGGGGGCATGGGTATAGGAAAGATGGTGGAATGAGATGGACATCATTGCCTAAGTACATGTATGAAGAAGACACAAATGGTGTGACTCTAGTTTGTGTACAACCAAAGATATGAAAAATTGTGCTCTATATGTGTAATATGAATTGTAATGCCTTCTGTTGTCATATATAATAAAATTTTTTTAAAAAGATATATAGTATAATGACATAGACTCTCTAAACATTCAATTCTTAGCCATAACTGATAATGGCCTTAATTATACAAATAAGTTGTTTTTAGTTTAAGAAGACAGAAATAATGATTCCTGAAATTGTCATTTTCCAAACTATAACATCTATTTGCATATAGAATATTTAGTTCCATCAGATGAATAAATATATAGTTTATCAAGCATAGGAAAAACCCTTTAAGACATTTTAATAAATAAGAACTAGTAAACAATAAGTTTGTCAAACATAAACACAATTCACAAGACTTGTTAAGCGTAAGCAGTCAGTAAGTAGACTGCTGAACAATGAAGGAAGCACCTTCTAAATATATTTAATATACATGAGGCACTTGTGTACTAAATATTCATAATATAATAAATATACAAAAGATACTAGATATACAGAATTTACTAAATATGCAAGAGTGCTGGATATTCATGAGGCCTTCATTTGGCTGCCCACTTGTTACAGCATTCCAGTCACAGGTGATATTCCATAAAACTCACAGATGGTCCTTCCATCTAGTTTACCCCACCTGTTAACTTGCTCTTCTCTTTTCCTTGCTTCTCATTGTGATTTCAATTGATGGAATAAGCCATGTGATTAGTGGGTTTTATTTGTTTGTTTGTTTGGTTGGTTTTTGAGGAGTACCGGGCACTGAACTCAGGGGCACTCAACCATGAGTCATATCTCCAGCCCTATTTTGTATTTTCTTTAGAGACAGGGTCTCACTGAGTTGCTTAGCACCTTGTTTTTGTTGAGACTGGCTTTGAACTTGCGATCCTCCTGCCTCGGCCTCCTGAGCATCTGGGATTACAGACGTGGGCCACCACACTGGGCTGATTAGTATAATTTCTCTGGTCTGTGGGCCCTTCTTCTGTTCTGTGGCCTCTAGGCCAGCCTCGCTGATAGTGAACTAAAGTGATTCCCCACACAAAACAATACAAAAATACTTTGAAATGTTTCAGATGCCTCATTCTAACAACAAAAAAAGTTCTTATCTAGATGGGTGTATTAGTGCACACCTGTAATTCCAGTGACTCAGGAGACTGAGGCAGGAGGATCTCAAACTGAAGGCCAGCCTCAGCAATTTAGCAAGACCCTGTTAAAAAAATAAATAAATAGGCGCCTGCCAGGTAGGTGGAACTGTGACCACGGACAGAAAAGGCCCAGTGGCCCGCGGCGGGACAGAGCTTCCAATCACTCCTGCAAGGTAGGCGGGCCTGCGACCACCGGCAGAAGAGGGGCAGCGGCCTGCTGAGAGTCGGAGCCGCCCCCTCCCCCTGCACCGGCAAGGTAGAGGGAACTGTGACCACGCACAGAGCAGGCCCAGCGGCCTGCTGGGGGGCAGAGCCGCCCCCCACCCCCCGCGCCTGCCAGGTAGGGGAACTGTGACCACGGACAGAAAAGGCCCAGTGGCCTGCCGCGGGACAGAGCTTCCAATCACTCCTGCAAAGTAGGCGGGCCTGCGACCCACCAGCAGAAGAGGAGCAGCGGCCTGCTGAGAGGCAGAGCCGCCCCCTCCCCCTGCACCGGCAAGGTAGAGGGAACTGTGACCACGCACAGAGCAGGCCCAGCGGCCTGCTGAGGGGCAGAGCCACCCCGCACCCCCTGCGCCTGCCAGGTGACCACCGACAGAAAAGGCCCAGTGGCCCGCGGTGGGACAGAGCTTCCAATCACTCCTGCAAGGTAGGCGGGCCTGCGACCCACCGGCAGAAGAGGAGCAGCGACCTGCTGAGAGGCTGAGCCGCCCCCTCCCCCTGCGCCGGCAAAGTAGAGGGAACTGTGACCACCCACAGAGCAGGCCCAGCGGCCTGCTGAGGGGCAGAGCCGCCCCACACCCCCGCGCCTGCCAGGTAGGTGGAACTGTGACCACCGACAGAAAAGGCCCAGTGGCCCGCGGCGGAACAGAGCTTCCAATCACTCCTGCAAGGTAGGCGGGCCTGCGACCCACCAGCAGAAGAGGAGCAGCAGCCTGCTGAGAGGCAGAGCCGCCCCCTCCCCCCCGCGCCTGCAAGGTAGACGGAACTGTGACCACCATCAGAACAGGCCAGACCCGCAACCGAGAGACAGAACAGGCCCAGTGGCCTGAGGAAGGGTAGAGCCGCCCCCCCCCCCCCCCCCGCGCCTGCAAGGTAGGCGGACCTGCGACCCACTGGTAGTACAGCCCCAGAGGCCTGCAGAGGGGCAGTGCCGCTGCCTGCGCCTGCAAAGTAGACAGAACTGTGACCACCGACAGAACAAGCCTAGCGGCCCGCAGAGGGACAGAGCCGCCACCCGCGCCTGCGAGGGAGACTTTGCAACTATACAAGACCAATATAAATATATAGGGGGAAAATTCAATAGCACAACAGTTTCACCAAGTAGAAAGGAACGCGAACAGTATGAAGAGACAAGGAAAGAAAGGACCACAAGCAATGCAGGTCAACTCAACGTTAGAAGAGGTAATAGCTGCAGCAGATGGAATGTCAGATAAAGAATTCAGGATATACCTGCAGACAGTGAGAGTGTCTTGTGTAATCCCACTGCATCTTACATGCCCAGCCCAGAAACCTAAGCTTGGAGTATGGGGCGTCTGCATGAATTTTAGCTTTGCTTATATCAATTAACCTCATCTGTACATTGGGGTTCTCCCAGGTTATTGGTGACATCAAAAGTATTTAAAAAATTTTTTTAAACTGTAAAACACTGTAGAAGTCAAATTCCAAGGGGTGAAAATGAGAAAATGTTTGAAGGCCCTATGTATATTAAATGTTTCAAACTTAGGGTGATATTATGATGATGAGGCAAAAAAATAAATCCCTCTGGGCCTCTCAGAATAAGATAATGATGCTCATCTCCCATGAAGTCTCATCTGGGTCTCAAAATCAGCCTAACAAATATTATCTTAGAAAAATACCTTACAATGGGAGAAAGCCTGGGCTGGATTCTAGAAATGTAGGTTATGAGCTTAGCTTTGCAGTAACTGGCTACGTGCCTTGGGAAAGTCACTGAAACTGAAATCTGATCAAGGAATTATCCTCTGAGCTATTGATAGATGCCTAACCATAAGCCAGAGGCCCTGAGGGTAGAAACCCACCAATCATTGTCACTGTGGTCCCCAAGATCCCATGGTCTCTAGGAACTGCTTAGGAAAAGAATACAAAGACCTGCAGGCAAGGAGCGTCCATCTGAGAAGGTAAGGGGCTTGCTGAGTTCTCTGGAAATGGACGTGACTGGAGGAATCAATCGGAACGTCTCCTTGATGCACATTGTGGTGTATGACATCTCACCCAGCTGGTCCCTGTGAGGACGAGGGAGGGAGGGAAGGGTCTCAGACTTCATATCTGGTTGTATAGTTTCCTACCTTTTGTTTGTTCCTAATAAACACTACTCTCAGGTTAAAGCTATTTTGTCATGGGTTTATGTATAAGATCGTTAAAATGGGACTTTCCACCCCAGGATCAGGTGAGGTCCCAGAGGTAGAGGAAAAAAAAAGAGGGGCCACATACCCTCATTATATAATGAGGCGTTCATCTAACAGCAAAAGGCTTGCCAAGGAGATTTTTGAAAACCAATTTTGCAACCCTTAGCTCATCATATTGGCCATTTGGTAATGTGAAATTCTAGTTTTAGTTTTGAACATTTTCCTTATGCTTAGGATAAAAAAAAAAAAAGAGTAATTCTTCTTACCCTGGCAAGACTGTATAAGGAATAATTAAGGATTGAGGAGAAAAGACTAGAGAAGTTTAAGAGAGAAAAAAACATCCTTTAAAGAGATTTGTTGGAATACTGGAGTGCCATGGAGAATGGAAGGGGGTGCTGGCCCACCTCCAACACACAAAGGGAAGCTTCACTAGGGCAACTCAGATGGTCTGATGAGTGCTCCCTGGAGTTTGGGGAGCACAGGACTGATACGAGAGGCTCAGAATGGACAGAGAGGCAGGGGAGAGCAGCTGCACAGTAGAAATGTGCCAATGTGTCCTATGACCAACAAACCGACCAGAGGGAGGGAGGGAGAGCTCCAGATTCAGCTGGAGAAAGGCTCTGCCCAGGACCAGAATTCCCTGGGAATCATGGAGTTTCCAAGAGACCCACAGATGCGAGAGAAAGGGAAGCATTAAATATCCACCAACCCCCCTGAACAGGATCACGGTAGTTACAGACCTTTTCCCCTTCTTTTTTTTTTTTTAATTTGAATTATTTGCATTTTATTTTTTTTATTTTATTTTTTTTTAAATTTTTTATTGTTGGCTGTTCAAAACATTACATAGTTCTTGATATATCATATTTCACAATTTGATTCAAGTGGGTTATGAGCTCCCATTTTTACCCCATATACAGATTGCAGAATCACATCAGTTACACATCCATTGATTTACATATTGCCATACTAGTGTCTGTTGTGTTCTGCTGCCTTTCCTATCCTCTACTATCCCCCCTCCCCTCCCCTCCCCTCCCCTCCCCTCTTCTCTCTCTGCCCCTCTACTGACATTCATTTGTCCCCCTTGTATTATTTTTCCCCTTCCCCTCACTTCCTCTTGTATGTACTTTTGTATAACGCTGAGGGTCTCCTTCCATTTCCATGCATTTTCCCTTCTCTCTCCCTTTCCCTCCCACCTCTCATCCCTGTTTAATGTTAATCTTCTTCTCATGCTCTTCGACCCTACTCTGTTCTTAGTTACTCTCCTTATATCAAAGAAGACATTTGGCATTTGTTTTTTAGGGATTGGCTAGCTTCACTTAGCATAATCTGCTCTAATGCCATCCATTTCCCTGTAAATCCTTTTCCCCTTCTTTTCTCCCCAGCCCCAATCATTCCTGGAAGAGTCAGAAAGAGCAGCTTCCAGGTAGGGGAGGAGCTGATCAGTAAGGACAAGACAGCAAAAAAGTCCTCACTCTCTATTGGCTTCCAGGCCCAAAGAAGTGCCAAACTGGGATGGAGGGAGATGCTCCAAGGGGATGAGTATTTGAAGGTCTCACTATTATACGGGGCTGGACAGTTTAATCATGGACGTGAGACTACTCTTGTGATTTAAATGGATGAGACATACGGGGCTGGACAGTTTAATCATGGACATGAGACTATTCTTGTGATTTAAATGGATGAGACATACAGGGCTGGACAGTTTAATTATGGACATGAGACTATTCTTGTGATTTAAATGAATGAGACCTCTATGCGATCTCAGGATTCTGTTCTGGAGATGAAAGAACTTGCTCCATAGAGCAAGTTTGAAGTGTCAGCAGAAGAATAAAGTTGTATTTTTAATTTGCATTCTAGTTAATCAGTTTGGTTCAAAAGTAATAACTGCGTATATTTAGTCTAGTCACTTTTTTGTATTTGTATTTTCTTTTCTTTTTTTAAGTATATTTTTAGTTGTCAATGGATCTTTATTTTATTTATTTATATATACGGTGCTTAAAATCAAACCCCGTGCCTCACACATGCTAAGCAAGCACTCTGCTACTGAGCTACAACCCCAGCCCATATTTTCTTTTCTTATTACTTACTGTGAATGCAGAATTTGTCCATTTGGTAATATGAAATTTTAGTTTTGAACTCTTTCCTTAAGCTAAAGATAAAAAAAATAATTCTTACACTGGCATTTTGTATAATTAAGAATAAAAAATTTGCCCACCTCAATCATGGTGCAAAAAAAAAAAACTAGGAAAGAATTTTAATCCAACATAGAAATGGTCTGACAAGGAGCCAAATGGAAAAACTTGGACAACTATCCAGGTTTCCCATAAATTGCTTTTTGCAGAATGATTGCAGCACCTGTCTAGAGGAATTGTAAATTCTCAGAATACCACATCCCAATGTCATTACTATAAATACATGTGACAGTAAAAAAAGACATTTTGTTCTTTGTAATATTTTTGCCCTTTGTCTCATTAAAATAAATGACAATTAACAGATCATCTAGACTTTGTTTTCTCAGCCAGCAGAGAGTTACTTACTCTTTTCCCATTTAGGCCAAACAAGAATGAGAAAGGGTGATATTTTAGTTGTATAGGTATTTACCCTAGTGAAGGTTAAAATATCTAAGGCATGTTGGAAAGTGATATTCACTGTTATCACATCAATGAATAAATAAAGAATGATCACTCAGCAGGATAAGAGAATAGGAAGTTCCCACAGCCATTCACAGGCAAAAGTGCTTTGTGAAAAGCACTACCTTATCTGATGACCACCATAAAGTTTACTAATCAAAACAGCATGGCACATTATCAAAAACCAACAGAACAGGTTAAAGAGCCCAGAAATATATCCACATATTTATGGACAACTATTCTTCAGCAAAGATGCCAGGAACACACGGTGGAGAAATGGCAGAAATGGATTGAGAAAACCAGATGTGCGTACGCAGAAGAATAAAATTAGAACTTTATCTCACCCCATATAAAAAAATCAACTCAAAATGGATTAAAGACTTAAATTTAAAACCTGAAACTATAAGACTACTAAAAAACAAAAGGGAGAAGCTTCTTGACATGTCTTGACAACATTTTTTTTTACATATGGTTTTCTAAACACAGACAACAAAAGCAAAATCAGACAAATGAGTTTGCATCAACCAAAAAGCTTATGCATAACAATCAACAAGGTGAAGAGACAGCCTAAAAAATGGGAGACAAGATTTACAAACCATATATATGATAAAGGAATAATATCCAAAATGTATAATAACTGACACAATTCAGCATCAAGAAAACAAATAATCCAATTAAAAAATGGGCAAAGAACCTGAATACACTATTTCTCAAAGACATACAAATGGCCACAGGCATACAAAAAACATGTTCAACATCACTAATCATCAGAGAAATGCAAATTAAAACTACAATGAGATATCACCTAACCATGTTAGAATGGCTATCATAAAATAAAAAAGAAAGATAAACATTGGTGGGGATGTGGAGAAAAGGGAACATTTGTACACTATCAGTGGCAATGAAAATTAATGCAGTCCTATAGGAAGAAGTACGAAAGTTCCATTAAAGATTGCAAATAGAATGACCATATTATCCAAAAATATCATTTCCAGATATATATCAAAAGGAAGCAAAATCAGTATGTCAAAGAGACATTTGCATTCCCATCTTCATTGCAGCATTATTCACAATAACCCAGATATGGAATCAACCTAAGTGTCCATCATCAGATGAATGGATAAAGAATATGTGGCAAACATACACAATAGGAAACCATCTAACTCTTAAAAAGAAAGAAATCTTGGGCTGGGGTTGTAGCTCAGTGGTAGAGTGCTTGCCTTGCATGTGGAAGGCACTGGGTTCAATCCTTAGCACCACATGAAAATTAAGTAAAGGTATTGTGTCATCTACAACTAAAAGTATATTAAAAAAAGAAGGAAATCTTATCATTTGCAAAAACATGGAAAAACTTGGAGGACATTATGCTAAGTGAAATAAAACAGGCACAGAAAGACAAAGACCATATGATCTCAATCACGTGAGGAATCTGAAGAAGTTGAATTCCTAGAAGCAGAGAGTAGAATGGTGCTTCAGGGGTCTAAGGACAAGGAGATACTAGTCAAAGGATACAAAACTTTGGTTAGATAGGAGAAATAAATTCAGGAGATACATTGCACATCATGCAATTCTATGGTAGCATTGCAAGTACAACATACAATTTGTGGTATACTTGAAAACTGCTAACAGGTTTGAAATGTCTCATCACCAAAAATAAGTATGTAAGTTAATAGATATGCCCACTGATTGATTTAGTTATCCCACAAGTTATACAAGTATCAAAACATCACTTGCATATTTGTCAGTTAAAAATAAAAATGAGCTGGATGAGGTAGTGCATGTCTGTAATCCCGGTAGCTTGGGAGGATGAGCCAGGAGGATGGTGAGTTCAAAGCCAGCTTCAGCAAAAGTGAGGCACTAGGCAACTCAGTGAGACCTTGTCTCTCTCTCTCTCTTTTTTTTCCCAGAGGACACAACATCGTTGTTTTTTGTTTTTTGTTTTGTATGTAGTGCTGAGGATCGAACCTGGGTGGCACGCATGCCAGGCGAGCGCGCTACCGCTTGAGCCACATCCCCAGCCCGAGACCCTGTCTCTTAATAAGACACAAACAATAAGGCTGGGGATGTGCTCAGAGGTTGAGTACCCATGAGTTCAATCCCTAGTACCACCCCCCACCCCACCCCACCCCACCCCTGGCAAAAAATAAAAATGACTGTCCAATTTTGTATTTTATGCTATATAAATTAAGCCTTTAATTTGTGTTAAGAAATCATTATAATTCCTTATAAAATGATAGCTCTACTATACCTTTATAACTTCAAATTTTGCTTTACGAATATTTCAATTGAGCTAATCCTCTCATATGAAATACGATGTTTGTTTTCCTAGTCATGTGGCTCAGTGACCCTTAGAATTTCTATCTTTCTGCTCCTTTTTACCAGGCAGGATGAAGGGTGTGATTTATGTCAGAAACATGTTGTTTCTTTCCAAACAGCATATTTGAGGAGCAAATCCATAAACTGGATTTTATTAATAACAAGATATGCTTAAACCTAGCAAAGTAGAGTTGAAGTTTTCCATGTGGTTAACTTCTACTAATTCTAAGGAAATCACTTTGAGCCCCCATGCCAGGCTAGGTGCCTGTCTTCTAAGTCTCTCTGGTGGCTAGCACATATCTCTATCATTGTCCTTATCACGCTATATTTCAATTTGTTCTATGGAGCTCTGTGTCCGCATTAGACTGTGAGCTCACTGAGGGCAGAACCCACATTAAATCTTCCTACTGAATACCATGTTCAAAGTCCAAAGTCACCTCGAGGAATGAAATTGATGACAAGGGGATGGTTTAGAGTGTCCACAATGAGCCTTAAATGATGCAGCTGTTCATTCAGTTCTCTCAGGAGTCCACTTGGGCCCAACCATTCAAACTCTAAATGCTAGCCTCTGGTCAGGTCCTCATTTCCAATGTGCCAGAGATTGGGTGAAAGAAAGAAATGGGTCATTTTATACACCACTGAGTAGAAAAGCAATGACAATTTCTGGATGAATGAATTTTTGCAAAAGACAAGGCATTAATTTGGGGCTTTCTTGAGAAAGAATAGAGAAATAGCCTACCTCTTCTGCTTCCACATACACATATCACGAGTCACTGTCATTATTAAGGAACCAGGGCAAAAAATACAGCAGAATCCCAGGGGGAGACTTAGAATGAAACGATTAGGGAGGTAGATCTTACCAGGTGATGGAAGATCCGTCCCCTAGGATGCTCCTGATCTCTTCCCGGCATCTCTCCTGATGCTCAGGGTTCAGAGCCAGGCAGTAGAGGAGCCAGGAGAGGCTCACAGCCGAGGTGTCATGCCCAGCCAACATGAACGTGTTCACCTCGGACCGCAGGTCAGCATTGGAGAAGCTGTCTTCATTTTCAGCCTAGAATGTACAGTAGAGATGTTTTAATGAAATGTGAGTTTACAGATCTTTGGAGACCCAATTAAAATTAATGGCTCCAGGGGAAGACTTAGAGATTTAAAAAAAAGTTTCAATTTTTATTCAGTTCAACAAATATATTCTATGAGTGACACCTCACTCAGAGCATAAAGGAGAACCAACATTAGACAGGAAAAGCAGACTGCAAAGTGCTTTCCACTCATCAGGCCCAAGGAATTCTCTTCAGACTCCCAGATCTATCCAGATTTTCCAGTGCCAACTCCTTCTCTTTTTACATGCTTACTCATGTGACCCATTTTCCTTTGATTCCCTAAATTCTATGTATCTGTATAATCCCCAATCCTGTCAAATACATAATTTAGTCTTCAATGACTATGTCTAGTGACAGGTGCAGGATTCTATCCTTACCCCAACCTTCATGGAGCCAACCTCTCAATTCAAAGTACTGTTAAATTTATTGGATCAGCTTTGCTTTTTTCTCCACCGCATCCCCTTTTATCCACCTACACACATAGTTAACTGGATGATTAACTAGGCTAAGATATTTGGAAGATTTACCTGGGCAGAAAGGATAATATCCAGGAAATCCTGGTACTTTTTCTTTTGAGTGTTATCCTGCTTCATTCCAGCCTTGAGGGGTTTTTTTCTGTCCTGGATTACCTTTTCTGGGTAGAATAATATCTCTCCATTACCAAAGTGGCAGCAAAGTCAATCAAAGTCAAGTAAATTATAAAGTAAGTCAGGGCCCATGAATAACTTCAGATTTTGCTGGCTTTTCAGAGACCAGACTGGGTACATTACATTTAAGTTGATTTAATTCACAGATGACTTATTTTTCCATCAAATGGACAACTTTTGATCAAAGTTCCAAAATAAAATACAACAAACCAAAGATATAGTTTATATAAGTAGGCAAGCAATATAATTAAGATAATTTCAAATTTAGATTCAAATGATCAATCATTCTTTTTTTCCTCTGAAATATCATCTTCATGAAAATTATCAGGTGAAATAGAAGATAGGCAAAACAATGGAAAAATGACCAAGAATAAACAAATAACCCCCCACCTCCAACACATGCTTGTTTGAAGGGACCAAAAGGAAAACCCCAAAAACATATGGAACAGAGCTATAGTTAAAAACCATAATCCAAGAAAAATTTCTAGAAATAAAAAATTGAAATCTATATATTAAAGGACCTAGTCTCTGCCTGGAAAAATTGGAACAGAATGACCAATTGTGATCTATACCTAGTAAAAATATTTGACATTAAAGACAGAGGAAAAAAAATCCTCAGAGACTTCTGACAAAAAGATTAAATGAGTTTTAGGGAAGAGAAAATTGGGCTAGCTCAAACTTGAGACAAACAGTAAAGAAATCAAGACAATAGTAGAACATTTCCAAGAAACTCAAGGAAATGAAGTATGAGATAAATATTTTATATGTAGACAAACTGTCCTTCCAGTATCAAGGCTATAGAAAAAAACTTGTTTTAAACATGGAAGAACTCAGAGAATGTTGTGCTCATGAACCCATTCTGAGGAATCTGCAGAGATGACTACTTCATTAAAAGTGCAGTTGGTTGCTCAACTATGTCTATATACTTGAAGTCACTGAAGTGTACACTTGCAAAAGGTTAAGATGGCAAATGCTAAATTATATACATTTTACCACAATACAAAAACTGGCAAGCTAGACCTCTTAGAACAGTAAAAGGTTAAATAAAGAAAAGTAGGAGACTAAGGATTCTACAAAGGAAATAAATACTATGGTAGCCTCAGAACAAAAACATAAACATCTTTATACTCCATGTATGTATAATATGTCAAAATACACTCTTCTGTCATGGGTATCTAAAAAGAACAAATAAAAAAATTAAAAAATATAAACAACTTAAATATCAAAGGCAGTATATTTAAAAAGACCAAAGATTACATGCTGTATAAAGAAACTATATAGTGGATTCAATAATGTCTCCCCAAAATTCATATCTACTAAGAGCTGTGAAGGAGGCCTTATTTCAAAAATATAGTCTTTGTGGAAGCAATCAAGTTATGATAAAGTTGTATTGGATTAGAGTAGGACCTACCTCACTGACTTGTATTCTTAAAAGAAGAGAGGAATTTGGAAGCAGAGAGAAATCAACGATTTGAAGACAGGCAGAAATAATAGTGACGCATTTGCAAGCTGAGGAATGCCAAGGATCATTAGCAGACACTAGGAGGCAGAAAGAGAAGGCAAGAGCCTTCTCTAGAGCCTTCCCAAGGAAACATGGCCCTGCCAATACTTTGTAGTTCTAGCCTCCAGAACTGTGATAGAGAAGAAGTCTGTTCTAAACATCGGTTCTAGTTTGTGATCACTTGTTATGACAACTTTAATAAATAAATACAGTAATTATACCATAATACACACAGTAATGATAACGTAGTTATATGACAGCATTGTGACCATGTATAACAGTCATTTCAATGAATGAGAATGAGAATAATATGCTTATTGAAATAAAAAGATTTTAAAACTGGCTCATAAAATTAAATCCAACTATGTGCTGCATAGAAGAAACATACCTAAAACAAAGTAATTCTGAATGGCTAAACATAAAAGGATAGGTGAGATTATATCAGACAATCATACATGACAAGGAAACAGGGTTGTAATCTTGATATTGGACAAAGTAGAATTTGAACAAAACTTATTGAACAAGATTCAGTTTTTAGTACTAAAAGTCATGATATCACAAGACAATCGCTAAGAAGATATATACTTCAAGTAACAGACCATTTTACCTTGGGCTTGCAGGGTTGGGTTCACCTCCCTCAGCCGGGGAGTGAGGGCTGAGGTTGTAAAATGCTTTGTACTTTACTCAGAGTTGCCTTTCCTCTGTTTCTATGCATTTTAGGCTTTCTGTAACTCATTTATTGATTCCTGGAGTTTCTCTTCTTTCTCTCCTTGGAATAGTTTCCCCTTTGTGGCCTTGACTCTTGTGACTTGCCAAATTCCTCAAAGGGTTCTTCTACTAGGCCATTTTGTCTCATGCCCATCAGAACCAACTCTTTTATTACCTAAATAATCTATAATTACAACTCCCATCAGGCAGCACAAAAGTAAATCTGCCTGCATATGTTTAAGTCAAAGGCCTCCAGCGTAATAGGAAAATAACTTTGATGTGCAGAAATATTTTTGAGTTACAATTGACTATTTCCTGCTACTCACATATATTTTAAAACTTAAATAAAATGGAAATTAAATGTAACAAAATCGACTGAAATAGAAACAGAAAAACAATTTACTGTCATAGAAGAAATGGATAAAAATATGAAGGTGCTACCTACCTCTACACACACACACACACACACACACACACACACACACATGGAGAAGGAGGAAAGAAACAGAAATATTTGAAGCAATAAATGACTGAGAACTTTCCAAAATTAATAACACCAATCCACAGATCCAAGGAGCTCAGAGAATGCCATATAGGATGATATAAAAAAATACATATATGCACAGCATATTCAAACTGCACAAAACAAACAGGAAATCATTAAAGAAAACACAGGAAAAACACCTTATTTATAGAGGACCAAGCATGAGAATCACATTGGACTTCTTGTTAGAAGCCATGCAAGCAAAAAGAAAGTGTAGTGAAATGTTTGAAGTGTTGAAAGAAAAAAAAAATCCCATTTTCTAAAATTTTGTACCCAGAGAAATCATCTTTAAAAATTAAAGAGAACTTTCTAAGGCATATAAAATTGAGTAAATTTGTTACAGTAGAAATATTTTGTAAGGGCTGGGGATGTGGCTCAAGCAGTAGCGCGCTCGCCTGGCATGCGTGCGGCCCGGGTTCGATCCTCAGCACCACATACAAACAAAGATGTTGTGTCCCCAAAAAACTGAAAAAAATGGGTAAATGTTAAGATTCTCTCTCTCTAAAAAAATATTAAAAAAATATTTTGTAAGAAATGTTAAGAAGAAGTTCTTTAGCAACAAGGAAAATGATACAGAACAGAAGTTCAGATCTGCCCAAAGAAAGGAGCGTTAGGGGATAAGTGAAGGTAAAATATAGGTCTTTTGATTTTCCTATCTTTAACTGAGCTAACAGATTACAGTTTGTCTCAAGTAATTTCAGCAACAATATATTTAATGATTATAGTTTCCAGATAAGTGGAATAAATGGCAAGTAATGCTATAGGGGACAGGAGGGAGAAATCGGGAATACTCTGCCAGAAGGTGCTTGCACTACCAGTGAAGTAGTGTAGTGTTACTGGAAAGTAGACTTGGATTAACTGTGGATATGTATGGCCACTGACAAAAGCAAGATGTATGATTGATAAGCTGACAGAGTAGAAAAAAATTGAGTCATAGAAAACACTGAATTAAAAACTACAGAAGGAGGGCTGGGGTTGTGGCTCAGTGGTAGAGAGCTTACTTGGCATGTGTGAGGCAGTGGGTTTGATCCTCAGCACCACATTAAAAAAATAAATAAATGTAAAAAAAAGAACTTTATTAAAAACCCACAGAAGGTAGGAAAAGAATGGAAGACCAAAGAACAAAGAACAAAAACAAAGAGTAGAAAGCAGTAATAAATCTGGTAGCTACTAATTCAACTATATATATCATTTATCTTTTTTAAGCACCAGTGATCTAAATGTACCAATTGAAAGACGGATTGTCAGAGTACATAAAAAATGAGACACAGCTATATGTTGCCTATAAGAAACTTACCTTAAATATAAAGATACATACAGATTAAAAGTAAAGGAAAGAAGAAAGGTAAACCATAATAAATAAGCAAACGAAGGCTGGAGTATTTATATTCATTCCAGGCAGAATAAACTTCAGAGCAAGGAAAGGTACCCGATAAAGAAGGTATTTTATAATGATAACGAGGTTAATTCTCTAAGAGCACATCAAAAATCCTTAATGTGTATGCATAACAACAAGCATCCAAATACGAGAGGCAAAAACTGATAGAATATTTGGATACTTCACTGTCTCTCTATTATAAATCCAGTGTAGAAAAATCAGGAAGCACACAGTTAAAACCAACAACATCATCTATCAACTGAATCTAATTGACATATGTGGAATACTTCACCCAATAAAGAAAAAACCCAGATGAAATGGACCAAATCCTTGAAAGATAAAATCTTCAAAAAACTCACATGAGAGACAGATTAAAATAGGTCTGTATCCACTAAAGAAACTAAATCAATCATTAAGAACCTTCCAGAACAGGAAAAAAAAAAACAGGCCCAGATAATCTCACTAGTGAACTCTACCATACATTTAAGGAAGAAATCAAATGAATTCTATACAGTGTCTTCCATAAAATAGAAGTAGAATACTTTAACTCATTTTATGAAGCCAGCATTACCTTCATACCTAAATAAGATAGAGATATTACAAGAAAACCACAGACTGATATCTCTCATGAACATAGATGCAAAAATTCAACAAAAGTGGTATTTACTCCAGGTGGGCAAGGCTGGTTCAATATTTGAAAATCAATCAATGTAACTTATTAATTAACAGCGTAAAGAAGAAAGAGTATGATTAATCAGTAAATACAGAAAAGCCATTTGTCAAAATCTAACACTTATTCATGTTTAAAAGAAATCCCAGCAAATTGGGAACAGAAGGAAAACTTCCTCACCTTGACAAAGAATATCTACAAAACCCCTAAGTGTATATCATAGATAATGATGAGAAACTTGATATTTTCAATGAAGTTAGGAATAAAACAATGATGTCTCCTCTCACCACTCCTATTCAACATCTTACTGGAAATCCTTGCTGATACAATAAGACAAAATAATATAAAGTATACAGATTAGGAAAGAATAAACAGAACTATGTTTATCCACAGATGATATGATAGTAGAAAAATCTCAAAGATTCAACAAAAAACACCTGAAACTAGTAAGTAATTATGACAAGGTTGTAGGATATGAAGTTAATAAATAGAAGTGATTTTTTATATACTATCAACAAACAATTGACATTTGAATTAAAAATAGAATATTATGTACATTAGTTCTGAAAAACATAATACTTAATATAAATGTAACAAAGGATGTGCAAATCTATTATGCGGAATGCTTTAAAAACCTGAAGAAAAAAATAAAATTTATCTAGATAAATGAAAAAATATTCCGTGTATGTATATAGATAGGAAGATTCAATATTGTCAAGATGTCACTTCTTCTTCCCTACTTGATTTTTTAGATTCAACACACTCACAATGAAAATCCCCAGCAGGTTATTTAAAAAAAATTTTTTGGGGGGTACCAGGGATTGAACTCAGGGGCACTCAACCACTAAGTCACACCCCCAGCCCTATTTTGTATTTATTTAGAGACAGGGTCTCACAGAGTGCTCAGCACCTCGATAAATTGCTGAGACTGCCTTGAACTTGCAATCCTCTTGCGTCAGCACCCCAAGTTACTGGGACTATGGCATGCATCACCATACACAACTGAAAATGTTTTGTTTTTAAAGTTTTCAACAACCTGGACACTTAATATTTTCTCTAATACTTTTGATTTTGTTCTTTCATCATAATTATACATAATGAAAATGTAAAGAATCATCTAAGTCATATGTAGCTGCCCTCAAATCCACTCCTATTTACTCCAATAACCATATAAAAGTTAATATTTTCTGTGATCCATGATGCAAAAACATTTGAGGACTATTGCTATAAAGATGTAATGCCCACCTGTATCTTAAATTGTTTCTAACCTGCTTCACTGAATGTTCTCCTTATAGTATCTATGTGTATATGTAAGTGTGAATATGCATGTATTGGTGAGTCTTGAAAGTTTCCTGGGGGCAAAGATATTTGATATAGTAACTATACTTTATATTTAATATTTATCCAGTGCCAGGTACCATCCCAAGTCTTTTACATTTATTAGCACACTCATCATCACCAGAAACCTATGAGATAGGTTTATTTTTAAATCACCATTTTTCAGATGACTTTGAAACAAAGCAGTAACTGTCCAAAGTCAGGCTGCTAGTTAATGATGGAGTCCATGAGGGATAGACCTCTGGGTGAGTATTCTCTATTATGATACTTATGAAAAGTAATGTTGAATTGCTTAAAAAATTTATTCTAATTTTTGAGTTTACACTTTGCTAACATAAACATATTTTTGAATTAAGCTTCTTTTGTGTGCATTTCCATGTCTACTCTTTCTCCCATCCATTCCTACATTGCATGAGTACTTTTAACTTATAATTATTACTGTAATAACTGCACAAAAGCTATATGTTATATATGTTTTTAAATCTTAAGTGTCCACTTATTGTGTTTGTATTAATAACTGCACATAATAAAAGGAGAAGTCCTGAGAAGACTAATTACTACAATGGATGTAGCAAACTCTTCTAAAGGACTCAAACTCTATTTCATTTGAGCAGTGTCCTTATAAAAGCTCCATTAAGAACAATAATTTTTTTCTGTTCACACTGAGGCTTATCCCTCTTGATAGCCACAATACAATTAATGATGATATATGGACTTGGGCAAATCAAATCCAAGAAATACCCATGTATTTACCTGTGTGTTGATGTAGCACTTTGCTTAACTCTTGGAAGAGGTGGCCATTAGGGCTGAACTTGAAAATTATGTCATGGTGGTGCCAGAAATTGTACATGCGATAAAATATAATTTTGCGGAGTTCAACCGTTGCTTTTACATAAGGATCAAGGGAGCTAGAAAATAAAGTTGGGACACTGTGTCAATAATTGACTTAGATAATGATGAACAAATATCTGTTTTGCTCTCCTGTCACTGACCCATTTGTCTGGCAGTTGGTCTCCCGGCTGAAAGCACATTTCATGATTATGTCCAGGGCCATCAAGTTGATGTGTTCAAAAACCTCCATGGCTGTGTCCTGAGTGCTGCAAATCTTCTCCCACTTATCCTGGCAGAGGAGGTCAAGATCAACATCATCACTATCATCAAAATGCCTTCATTTGCAGTCTCCTCCCTGACCTTGCCCTTATAACATAAGAGACACAATTTTGACCCCTCAGGAACCAAAGTTAAGAAAGCAAATGAGCCATGTGCTTATTTTGTGTTAGAGTCTGTAAACAAGTCAAAATAACACCTGGCATTTTTCCAGGGGAATGTTAGAGTTCGTAAACAAGTCTGGATGGTGCCTGGCAAAATGCCAGAGGGAGTGGTTTGAGAAGTAAGAAAAGAGAGCCATTAAGTGTGGAGATTCCTGATTGGTTGACTGATGTATCTAGTTTATGCTAATTAGATAAGCTGTGTGGAATGTATAAATACTGCTCCTGTCCTGTAATAAACGGCTCCCTCTTCTGCTGTATTAACGTGCACAAGTTGTTCGTCACCCCCCGGTTATTTTGCTGCAGCCGGACTGTGGCAATTTTGGGCTTGAAGAAGAAAAATATGCATCTAGCTGAGTGATAAAAAACATGTAATAAATTGCATATCTGGTAAATGGTCCTTCAAGTGTTACTATTTCCACATAGATCAGAGTTCTGTAGAATAGGCATTGCTAGTGCAGGCCCCATAAGTACAAAGGGTTTCCTTCCTTCACTTTCAGTCCCCAACTTCCTAGACACCCTGCCACTACTCTCAGCCACAGTAACGGTACTTAAAAGATACTTGCAACATTTTCAAAAACATTTTATATTCAGAAACTGGGCTAGAGAGAAGCTGGGCAGTGGAATAGTTGCAGGGAGCTGGCTCCCAGCCAGGTGCAACCCGTGCCCACCTGAATTCCCCCCACAAAGAGACCTGTTCACACGGCTTGAAATGCTTTGCCTGACTTTCCCAAACTGGCACAGAGTCCCCAGTTGTAAATGTAATTGTCAATATAAATATTCTTTGTGTAAAAATGCAAATAAATGGAAATGTTTAAGCTCAAGTCAACCTGCATTTGTTGAGCATCTACAAGTGCTAAGCTAGTTCCCAAGGACTAGGAGTCTGAATAAAAGGTAGAGTTTGAAAACCTTATACAAAAGTGTCAATTGTTTAGTCAGGTAGCTTGAATCTGAATTAGCTACTTTAAAAAATATTTTAATTAATTTCCATTAGTTGAATCTATTAATGGGGCTCAATGTGATATTTCAACACATGTATACAGTGTACACAATGAGCACAAATGTTACATTTAGAAGAGATGAGAGCAAGAGCAGTCTTTGAAGTTCAGTGCACTCTGGAACTGTTCTGCAGAGGGAGGAAGTATGAGAGGAACTCATGGAAATGGACTGAGAAACAGGAAAGGCAGAAATAGCTCCTAGAAATGGAGGTTGAAATTGTGTTGGTCGCTGAGCAGCACCAGAATTGGAAGAGGGTGCCCTCTTCCCTCTCTAACTCTGTACCTGGTAGTCTTTGGGTCTTTGCCTCAAGGCCTCACCAATGACTTCACCACCATCCAGGCAGGGGTTAAATGGGATTCTGTGAACTTGGCTGAGAAGCCAGTAGAGGAACTGGAAACAGTGATTCCTTGGGAACAGAAATGATTTTGGAGATGATGGTGAAGGGAATTTGGCTTTTTGGTATTTGAAGTATTTACGATGAAACTGTATTAATGAATTATTCATCCAATTAAAAGAAATACAATTTAAAAATTAAAAGCTTTTTAAAAGTAGAGCTTGGGCACAGCTAACTATAAATCAGAAACGATCCCAGGAATGCTCCTCTGCAAAGACCTCCTTCTCCTTTGGGGTGTAGATCACCTCATAGTGATCCTTCACTATCTACAAGGGGAACTTCATATCCGGATTTCAATGAAGACATTTAATCCTCTGCTTAGTTCTTTATGGCCCTCATACAAATCCATTCCAACCTACAAACCTTTGTTCATGCTGACCAGCTCCATCTAGAACTCTCTCAATCATATTATCTACATATACACACATCTAATTTATATTTCATGGTAAATTTTAGTCTCTCTGGAATCAGAAGCTGCCATAGCTGGTCTTGGCTTTCTTACTTGTCACCTACAGCACTTACTGCATGAATATCACTACTTGGTACTTGGTGTATTGCTATAGAATCTCAGAATATATCTAAGTCAGAAGACTAGATCTTTTCATTATTATTTTAATCACCCAAAGAAAACAGCAAAAGCTTACACAAACATCTATTTTTCAGTGGGTACTTATACATGGATTAATTTCAGAAATTGACTTTTGATTTTCACTGTCCATGAAATGTATGCCTAATACAATTCCAGTTAGAAGCCCCTTGCAATGCAACAGAGCTTCACTTCCTCACCCTACTTACCAACATCGTATTCACAGAATGGGCCATCATATCGACATATGTTTTCAGGATATCACAATGGAATCCAGGAGTCAGTAGTCGACGATGCTGGAACCACTTGGGCCCATCTAGATTCAAGAGTCCTTTTCCTTGAGAAATAAAAGACATAAATCCATGCCACTTATTAGATCAGAGAAAAAGGAAAGATAAAGAATAGCATGGAGTGAAATAGTATAATATCAAAGAAGGGCTCATAGGTTAAGATGGTAGCGAGTTTTGTTGCTTATATCTGGGATGGATGAATTTAACATCCTGAGTTTCAAAGTCTGATAAGTTTCAAAGTCTGATGAAATGAGAGTGGTAATACTAAAATCACTATGTAGTAATTGAGGAAGTTGATTAAACTTTCTGAGGCTTATTTTTTTTTCAATAATAAATTTTGATAATAAATACCAATCTTACTGTGTCATGCAGATTCTATGGAGATGTATAATAAGATACAAAACCTAGTCCTGCCCTAGCTCACAGTAGAAACACAACAAATATCCATCTCCTCTCCACTGTAAACCAATTCATAAATGAGTGAAATACAAATTCACTAGGAACTGTATTTCCAGATACCACCCTCTTGAGCCCTGGTCTATGAATGACACACATGTAAACACTTATCAAGGCTAATACCTCACCATAATCTATTGCCAGAGTGTTCATTAAGGATTTATTTTTAAAAGGACCTGAAAGTCTGAATGACACTATTCATTGAGTGCTTAAAGTATGCCAGACTCATGATGCATAGTCTGGCTCTGGTACAATGTTGGGCATTACATAAAGTGCTAGAAATACACATTAATTTGTCTCATAACAGCTATAACAGTGATTCTTATCCTCATTTTCAAAGATGAGGAAACTAAGGCATAGAGAGATTAAATTACTTCCTTAAAATCACATTCAATTAGTCTACTGGTATGGGGGGCAGGATTCAAATCTAAGGGGATCTGGATCCAAAGCCTAGATTCTTTCATTTAATTCTTTCCTGGTCTAGCACACACATTGATTATATGACTAAAGAGCTTAATTTATCTGCTCATAGAATATTGCCAAACTGTACTTCAGAATAAAATTCATTGATTTGCATATGAAAATAAGAGAACTACAAAAAAAAAAAAAAAAGAAAAAAAAAATCCAAGGAAACAAGAGAGACCAAAGGAGTCTCTCAGAGTAGGAATGGTGAAGCTACAATTTTAAGGAAAGAGAAGGTAATGTAGGTTAGAGACACAAAAACAAAATATAGATATTCTGATTTAGTTTAAATTTATATCTTGTTTGGAATATATTATATCATTTTCAGTTGCTTCATTCATATTGGCAATGCCATGGATTAAAAAAAAAAGCTTTATTAATATAAAGTGCTTAAAACAGTTCTTGGAATGCACATAGTCAATGAATGTTGGCTAAAACAAACAATAAAAATGTGATGTCTCTATTAAAACAAAAAAGAAATTGAGGAGACAGTTTCATCCCTATGATGCCTTGAAAATGGGACTTTGAGGAGAGAAATGGATGAGAAGGCTTTCCAGGAAGTTCTGAGTTGACCTTCAAGCTCCCCTGTGACCTTCCCCTAGATAACTCCCAGTATATATCAACCTCACTCTTGATACTTTTGAGGTCAGATTTGAGTCTCTGAAATGCTCTACCATGCAAAGGGGACTTAGTGGGAAAGCAGGTTACAAGTTGGCGCATACATACCAAGACACGGAGTCATGAACCTGTATGGGTACTGGGACTTGGGGTCTGCAGAGTCAAGCAGAGGAAACAAACAAAAGACAGCATTAGAGGGAGCACTCATTACTAGTCAGTGAAGGTTTTTTTTTTTTTTAATCATTTGCTCGTGTTCACCACAAACAGGGAGCAAATGGGAGCCCTGGGAGGTGGGGGAAACACAGGTCTTGGTTCAGTACCAGAGAACAGCAAGTCCGGGGAGACACACAGATACCCAAACCCAGATTCTTCCCTCATTTTCTCTTCCACCAACAGAAACAGTGGTTGCCAGAGGATTGCCACATTTCCAGAACAGGAGTAGCACAACATATATCCTTTGTGAAAGGTATATTAAATATGAGACACACCAGCAGTCACCATAGAGTGAGATACGAACGCCTCCTGTTGCTCTTGTGACTCTGACATGGAGTTTCTTAAGAGTTGAACTTGAGACAAATCAGAGGAGGGGGATGGGAAACCTGGAGACTTTCAGGGAAAGGCTCTTTTCTTTTATAAGGTTTTACTAAGGATGAGGAATATGAAGAACAGTTAGAATATGAGACACTTGTTTTGCAAAGTTGACAGAGCAAACACTGGCCATGTTAGTTCTGTGCTATGCATAATTCACGGTGGAGGCCTTGAAAAGGGGTGGGCAGAGGAGGCAACTGATTCATGGCCCCCAAAAGAACATAGTTGAGTAACATACATAAAGGTTAAAAAAAAAACTGGATCATAATCAAGAGGTTGGGCTGGTATTGGAAAGATATACATCCAGAATTATGTATTGAGCCTACAGGGGCGGGGATACTTCTGATTTCCCCTGGAGGCTTATGTTCTGGACAGATGGGAGTCGGGAGTATTGATGAAAGGGAAGTCACAAAAATGAGAGGGGCAAAGGCCAGTCTGCTAATGACAGCTCAGCTTTAAAGGACTCTGGAGTTGGGAACTAGACTAGGGACTGAGAAGGACATAAGGAGTTCACTTGGTCAGAGTCCCTGCAGGTGGACACTCAGTATTATGAGGCTGTGACCACCTGCTGGCTTGTGTCCTAACCACAGAGTCAGAGGGGTCAGAGTCCTGTCCCCTCTCCACACTTGCTCCAGGGTATCATAAAGGCTCCTCTGAATGGAGCCTCCACTGCCATGGCTAATATGCAAAGCCTTCACAGTATACTGGGCCCATAGGCCCTGGATTGGCCTATTTTGATCCCCAGCAAGCAGCAGAAGGAGGAGCTAGAAGCACACTTCCTGAAGGACCCCTTTCCATCCCTGGGTGCCCTGGTGCCCCTGGCCTCCCACCTCGGCCTAGAGGAGCAACACATGAAGAACTGGTTTAGGGTGCAGCAGTGTTCATACTGGTACTGGGAACCAGGCTGTCACCACTTTGAATTCCACCCCTACCGGCCCTCGCAGCCCTCGTGTTCATGCTGGGCACACTCAACCTGGGCAAGCCCAACCTGGGCAAGCCCCCCCTGGTCTGGCTTGTCTTGTACATGCCCATCTGCCAAAGACGCCCACTTCCCCAGCCCAAGAAGCCCCAGAAGCTTCTCCATTGAGGGCCAGGCCTGTGGGAACCTTCCAGAGAGTACCCAGGAGAGTTTCCCAGCAGCAGCCTTTCCTGGGGAGCCCCATGGCTGGGGCCTCGGGGTATATGGCAAGCAACTAGAAGCCGCCTTGAAGACACTTGCACATGACCTTCAAGACATCCTTGAAGACGAAGACAAATGGGGTCCAAGAGATTTCTGAATGGATAGGGGTTCTGTACCTGCCACATTCCACAGGTCTCACAGGTCCTCATTCTGGCCACTATTCCATCTAATTGTTGTCCCCACCTGTCATTTGAGTCACTTGGGAGTGTGTCTGGGTCTCTAGGAGTGGAATGGGGTTTCTGGGTGTATTCCCTTCGTGCTTACCCCACCCTGCAGGTGGACACTCAGTATTATGAGGCTGTGACCACCTGCTGGCTTGTGTCCTAACCACACAGTTTTCCCTCATGAATAAAACCCCTCGTTTTTTGTTTTTTTTTAAAGACCCAGTACTAATCTCTGCCTCAGTTCCTGCTTGTGGGTCATGTCCATCTCACTCCTAGGAGGATTTGCCTCTTGTCTTACCTGTTCTGCTCAGAAATGTCTTTGCATAGTCTGGGTCATAGATAAAGAAAAATGCCTGAAAGGGCCCAACCCAACAAGGGAAGGCACAAGGATACTTTTCAACAGTCTCCTCAAGCTTCTCCATTTTATCTTCCTGAAGAAACTGCAGGGAAGAAAAGAAGAAAAAGAAAAAATAAAGTAAAGGAAATTAGAGAACTGGCTGGATTGTCCTGTCTCAATAACTTCCTTAACAGGACTGCAAAACTCAGGAAATAATACCAAGGACTAACAAATGTTATGGCATCAAACTGGAAAGAAGAAATAAGTGTGTCAAGAGAGAAACTACAGAAGGTAGAGGGAACTGTGACCACGCACAGAGCAGGCCCAGCGGCCTGCTGAGGGGCAGAGCCGCCCCACACCCCCCGCGCCTGCCAGGTAGGGGAACTGTGACCACGGACAGAAAAGGCCCAGTGGCCTGCGGCGGGACAGAGCTTCCAATCACTCCTGCAAGGTAGGCGGGCCTGTGACCCACCGGCAGAAGAGGAGCAGCGACCTGCTGAGAGGCAGAGCCGCCCCCTCCCCCTGCACCGGCAAGGTAGAGGGAACTGCGACCACGCACAGAGCAGGCCCAGCGGCCTGCTGAGGGGCAGAGCCACCCCCCACCCCCCGCGCCTGCCAGGTGACCACCGACAGAAAAGGCCCAGTGGCCCGCGGTGGGACAGAGCTTCCAATCACTCCTGCAAGGTAGGCGGGCCTGCGACCCACCGGCAGAAGAGGAGCAGCGGCCTGCTGAGAGGCTGAGCCGCCCCCTCCCCCTGCGCCGGCAAAGTAGAGGGAACTGTGACCACCCACAGAGCAGGCCCAGCGGCCTGCTGAGGGGCAGAGCCGCCCCCCCACCCCCCGTGCCTGCCAGGTAGGTGGAACGGTGACCACCGACAGAAAAGGCCCAGTGGCCCGCGGCAGGACAGAGCTTCCAATCACTCCTGCAAGGTAGGCGGGCCTGCGACCCACCGGCAGAAGAGGAGCAGCGGCCTGCTGAGAGGCAGAGCCGCCCCCTCCCCTGCACCGGCAAGGTAGAGGGAACTGTGACCACGCACAGAGCAGGCCCAGCGGCCTGCTGGGGGGCAGAGCCGCCCCACACCCCCCGCGCCTGCCAGGTAGGTGGAACTGTGACCACCGACAGAAAAGGCCCAGTGGCCCGCGGCGGGACAGAGCTTCCAATCACTCCTGCAAGGTAGGCGGGCCTGCGACCCACCGGCAGAAGAGGAGCAGCGGCCTGCTGAGAGGCAGAGCCGCCCCCTCCCCCACCGCGCCTGCAAGGTAGACGGAACTGTGACCACCATCAGAACAGGCCAGACCTGCAACCGAGAGACAGAACAGGCCCAGTGGCCTGAGGAAGGGTAGAGCCGCCCCCCCCCCGCGCCTGCAAGGTAGGCGGACCTGCGACCCACTGGCAGTACAGCCCCAGAGGCCTGCAGAGGGGCAGTGCCGCTGCCTGCGCCTGCAAAGTAGACAGAACTGTGACCACCATCAGAACAAGCCTAGCGGCCCGCAGAGGGACAGAGCCGCCGCCCGCGCCTGCGAGGGAGACTTTGCAACTATACAAGACCAATATAAATATATAGGGGGAAAATTCAATAGCACAACAGTTTCACCAAGTAGAAAGGAACGCGAACAGTATGAAGAGACAAGGAAAGAAAGGACCACAAGCATTGCAGGTCAACTCAACGTTAGAAAAGGTAATAGCTGCAGCAGATGGAATGTCAGATAAAGAATTCAGGATATACATGCTTCAGATGATCTGGAGTCTCAAGGAAGACATCAGACAGCAAAATCAGACAATGAAAGATCACTTCAACAATGAATTACATAAACAAATCCAAGAAGCAAAAGATCAACTATACAGGGAAATAGAGGTTATAAAAAACAAACAAACAGAAATCCTAGAAATGCAGGAAGCAATAAGCCAACTTAAAAACTCAATTGAGAATACTACCAGCAGAGTAGAACACTTAGAAGACAGAACATCAGACAATGAAGATAAAGTATTTCAACTTGAAAAGAACATAGACAGCTCAGCAAGACTGTTAAGAAACCATGAGCAGAACATCCAAGAAATATGGGATAACATCAAGAGACCAAATTTAAGAGTCATTGGGATACAGGAAGGGACAGAGTTTCAAACCAAAGGAATGAGCAATCTATTCAATGAAATAATACGAGAAAACTTCCCAGACTTGAAGAATGAGACAGAACCCCAAATCCTAGAAGCCTACAGGACGCCGAATGTGCAAAATCATAAGAGACCCACACCTAGACACATTATAATGAAGATGCCCAACATACAGAACAAGGAGAGAATTTTAAAAGCTACAAGAGAAAGGAAGCAGATCACATTTAGGGGTAAGCCAATCAGGATAACAGCTGATCTTTCAACACAGACTCTGAAAGCTAGAAGATCCTGGAATAACATATTTCAAACACTGAAAGAAAATGGGTTCCAACCAAGAATTGTGTTTCCAGCGAAATTAAGCTTCAGGATGGAAGATGAAATTAAAACCTTCCACGATAAACAAAAGTTAAAAGAATTTGCAGCTAGAAAACCATCTCTTCAAAACATCCTTGGCAAAACATTACAGGAAGAGGAAATGGAAAATAACAATGAAAACCAACAGTGGGAGGTAGGACACTAAAGGGGGGAAAATAATCAAAGAGGAAAACAAACCATGTTTAGTAACATAAATAAACAAATATGGCTGGAAGAACAACCCATATCTCAATAATAACCCTAAATGTTAATGGCTTAAACTCACCAATCAAGAGACACAGGCTAGTAGAATGGATCACAAAACAAGACCCAACAATATGCTGCCTACAGGAGACGCATTTGATAGGAAAAGACATACATAGGCTGAAGGTGAAAGGTTGGGAAAAATCATATCACTCATATGGACTTCGGAAACAAGCAGGAGTATCCATACTCATATCAAATAAAGTAGATTTCAAGCCAAAGTTAATCAAAAGGGATAAAGAGGGACACTACATACTGCTCAAGGGAACCATACACCAACAAGACATAACAATCATAAATATATATGCCCCAAACAATGGTGCAGCTATGTTCATCAAACAAACTCTTCTCAAGTTCAAGAGTCTAATAGACCACCATACAATAATCATGGGAGACTTCAACACACCTCTATCACCACTGGACAGATCTTCCAAACAAAAGTTGAATAAGGAAACTATAGAACTCAATAACACAATTAATAACCTAGACTTAATTGACATATATAGAATATACCACCCAACATCAAGCAGTTACACTTTTTTCTCAGCAGCACATGGATCCTTCTCAAAAATAGATCATATATTATGTCACAGGGAAACTCTTAGACAATATAAAGGAGTAGAGATAATACCATGCATCTTATCTGATCATAATGGAATGGAACTGAAAATCAACGATAAAAGAAGGAAGGGAAAAGAATACATCACTTGGAGAATGAACAATAGGTTACTGAATGATCAATGGGTTATAGAAGACATCAAGGAAGAAATTAAAAAATTCTTAGAGATTAATGAAAACACAGACACAACATATCGGAATCTATGGGACACATTGAAAGCAGTTCTAAGAGGAAAATTCATTGCTTGGAGTTCATTCCTTAAAAAAAGAAAAAAGCCAACAAATAAATGATCTCATACTTCATCTCAAAATCCTAGAAAAAGAAGAGCAAAACAACAGCAAAAGAAGTAGAAGGCAAGAAATAATGAAAATCAGAGCTGAAATTAATGAAATCGAAACAAAAGAAACAATTGAAAAAATTGACAAAACTAAAAGTTGGTTCTTTGAAAAAATAAACAAAATCGACAGACCCTTAGCGATGCTAGCGAAGAGAAGAAGAGAGAGAACTCAAATTACTAGCATACGGGATGAAAAAGGCAATATCACAACAGACACTTCAGAAATACAGAAGATAATCAAAAACTATTTTGAATCCTTATACTCCAATAAATTAGAAGATAGTGAAGGCATAGATAAATTTCTTAAGTCATATGATCTGCCCAGATTGAGTCAGGAGGATATAGACAACCTAAACAGATCAATATCAATTGAGGAAATAGAAGAAACCATCAAAAGACTACCAACTAAGAAAAGCCCAGGACCGGATGGGTATACAGCAGAGTTTTACAAAACCTTTAAAGAGGAACTAATACCAATACTTTTCAAGCTACTTCGGGAAATAGAAAAAGAGGGAGAACTTCCAAATTCATTCTACGAGGCCAACATCACCCTGATAGCTAAACCAGACAAAGACACTTCAAAGAAAGAAAACTACAGACCAATATCTCTAATGAACCTAGATGCAAAAATCCTCAATAAAATTCTGGCCACTCGGATACAAAAACTTATCAAAAAAATTGTGCACCATGATCAAGTAGGATTCATCCCTGGGATGCAAGGCTGGTTCAATATACGGAAATCAATAAATGTTATTCACCACATCAATAGACTTAAAAATAAGAATCATATGATCATCTCGATAGATGCGGAAAAAGCATTCGACAAAGTACAGCATCCCTTTATGTTCAAAACTCTAGAAAAACTAGGGATAACAGGAACATTCCTCAATATTGTAAAAGCAATCTATGCTAAGCCTCAGGCTAGCATCATTCTGAATGGAGAAAAATTGAAGGCATTCCCTCTAAAATCTGGAACAAGACAGGGATGCCCTCTCTCACCACTTCTGTTTAACATAGTTCTCGAAACACTGGCCAGAGCAATTAGACAGACGAAAGAAATTAAAGGCATCAAAATAGGAAAAGAAGAACTTAAATTATCACTATTTGCAGATGACATGATTCTATACCTAGCAGACCCAAAAGGGTCTACAAAGAAACTATTAGAGCTGATAAATGAATTCAGCAAAGTGGCAGGATATAAAATCAACACGCATAAATCAAAGGCATTCCTGTATATCAGCGACAAATCCTCTGAAATGGAAATGAGGACAACCACTCCATTCACAATATCTTCAAAAAAAATAAAATACTTGGGAATCAACCTAACAAAAGAGGTGAAAGACTTATACAATGAAAACTACAGAACCCTAAAGAGAGAAATAGAAGAAGATCTTAGAAGATGGAAAAATATACCCTG